GGCGCGCCAGCCCCGCCAACCGGGCGGTCCTGCCTGGACGGCGACTTAACCCACCTGTGACGTCAGCGGCCCGCGCTCAGGCCCCGCCCCGGGAAACACGCCCTGGGCGCTCGCCTGGACTCCGGCCCCCTCCGGGCCCGGTGGAGTGCTGAGGCCTCCCGGCTGCGCCCTTTCCCAGCGCGGGGAACGGAACCTCCGTTTCCAGTGAGGCCGTCTCGGTCCCGCGAGCTCTGGGGAGCCTGGCCCCAGGTATTCCAGGTGATTTACATGTGCCCCGCCCACGAGGGCTTTAATTAATCTGGCCCCGCCCCATTCAAAATGATTTCCATGTGTGCCCCCGCCCCTGTGAGAGTCATAAAGGACCTGACCACGCCCACAGTCGGGGTGACCTACACGTACGCCTGCCCCTCACAGCCTTAGTAACCTGGCCTCGCCTCATTCCAATTGATTTCCATGTGTGCTTCTGCCCCTGTGAGAGCTGTAAATAACCTGGCCCCACCCACAGTCACGTTGATTTACATGTGTGTCCCCCCCTCATGGTCTTAGTAACCTGGCCGCGCCCCATTCCAAATAATTTCCATGGGCCCCGCCCCAAGTGATTTCCATGTGTTCCCCGCCCCTGTGGGAAGCCTTAGAGGACCTGGCCCTATCCCCAATCCAAATGATTTACATGTGCTCCGCCCCTGTTGGGGGGGGGTTTAAAGCAGCTCGTCCTGCTTTCAATTCAAGTGATTTACATGGGTGCCCGGGGCCCCCTCCTCTCCACCACTCTCAGTTCCAGTGATTTGCAAGTGCGGTCCCGCCTCTCTGGAACCATAAAGAACCAGTCCGCCTGCAGGCTCAGACTTAACTTTACAGCCCGGACCTCCCCCGCAGCCGCCGCCCCCCTTAGGGGGAAAGATGGCCTCCCCAACGGATACTACACCCCTAGTTGTAAAAGGCTCCGCCCGGTCGAGGTCCACCGGAGACGTGCAAGGCCTGGAGGCTGAGGCTCCCTGGGCCACAGTACTCCGCCAGCCCGACCGCTGGGACCGGACCACATCTGGCAGGAGGTGGCGCTCAGTTAGTATTTGATAAATGAATGAGACTGTGAAAACAGCGGGGTCCAGAACCCGCCCTCTGGGTGGGGCATCTCCTGTCCATGCCCCCAACCTCTCTTTTTTTTTTTTTTTTTTGAGTTGGAGTCTCACT